GGGGGGGGGGGCGCTCACCTGGTGCAAAGAAAAAAGCTTGACGACGCGCCTCGAGCCGAAAGAGTTGAATGAAAATACCAAGTCTTGCGATTTCGATGGGCGGCGGGTGTGTGTGTGTGGGGGGGGGGGGGGGGGGGTCTGGTACCAAGGCTTTCAAGTAGGGTCTCCATTTGATGTAGTCGCTCGGAGCCGCCCCCACCCCGCGCGGTTGGGCGTAGCGGCATCGCAGATGCTTCGCTGATCCTCCAGTTCGGGCCTGCCTGTTTTTTCCCCCCGGTAGAATTCCATACTCTTCCCTTGCTCCAAGCTGCATTCTGCTTGCTCTGCTTTTGGGGCCCGTTGCTTCAGTTCGCGTGCATTTATTTTTATTTTTTTTACCCCCTAGCCTTGCAGGGATGGCCGTGCTTTCTTTTAACTTGTCCCCCATTTCAGCTTCCTTTTGCCACAGATTTCCTTGGGCTTTGATGCTCTCCACCACCGGGGTATTTAATCGAGGTGGAAAGGAATAGCATTCAAAGGAGTTGGGGAGCTTTTGCTAAGCAGCGTTTCTTTTGTGGAAGGTCAGAAGACTCTCGGTGTTTAGTGGCTCTTCTGTTGGGATATTGCTATTCCCAAAGAAGACAAGGTGGGAGGGGAAGGCACCTGAAAGGCTGCCTGTGAACTGCTTTTGAAGGAAACTAGATGGCACTGTATCCTAGGATTATTTAGTCTCCACTTTTGACACTTGGGGTTTTCTCCACTACCTACTAACAATTATCCTTAATTAGTCACTGAATTGGTATATGTTGATACAATTCTGAGAGTTAAAACTTTGCACTTTACTTTTTTTGGACTTGAAGTTATAGTCTCTTGAGCCTGATCAACGGTGTTCTTGTGGGTGTGGTAATTTCTAGAAATACTCTACTTCTAGAACCAAGCTTGCATAACTCATAGTTTCAATTTTTCATATTTTGTGTGTGTGAGATGGATTGGGCATCAGGTTCAAGGCTTACATCAGTTGCTTTAGCCCAGTTTTTATTGCATTTTTGTTCATTATATTTGAAGCTTTTGAAGCTTTCAATAATTAAACATTTCAGTTTATTTTATCTCTAATGCTTTTTCTTAACACAAGCAATCTGTGTAGGGTTTTTTGTTTGGGGGTTGAATCCTCTATTTAGAGTTTTACTGGTTGTTTTATTATGATTCTAATAGGAAAAGGACTATGTAAGTCCTTTTCCTATTAGAATCATAATTGGTTCTAGATGTGTTGGAGGGTTAAGGAATGAAATGGATCCCTTATTATAGTATTTGAAAGTTTGTGGGTTCCTTTGAATTTTCATTTCTGTATAAACATGACCTAAAACATGATTTATTCTTCACATAAATCTTAAATTTAAAGAGAATCCAGTTAAACAAAAACATTATACATGTTTATTAAAGAAAATGACTCAAATCTACATATTTCTGTGTGGCAAAAGAATGTGAATCTTTGCTTTCAGTAACTGGTGAGCCACCCCTTTTCCAATAATTGCAACTAAATGTTTCCAATAACTTAATTAGCTTGCAGATTGTGTTGGAGGATTTTTAATCCATTCCCCCTTAGAAAACAGTTGCAACTTGGAGATGTGGGCTTCTTTGTATAACCTTTCCACTTCAGATCATTCCACAACATTTCTATAGGATTGCAGTCAGGACTTTGATTTGGCTATTTCAAAGCATTAACTTCCTTCTCCTTTAATCATTCTTTGATTGTATGACTTGGATATTTTGGATCATTGTCTTGCTGCATGGCTCACTTTCTCATGAACTTCATTTCATAGACAGATACCCAAATATTTTCTTGTAGAGATTCTAGTACAATTCAGAATTCATAGCTCCATCAATGATGGCAAACTGTCCAGGTCCAGAGGCAGCAAAACAAATTCAAACTATGATACTGCCATCACCATGTTTCAGAGATAAGTTTAATCTTTTTCATTCAAGCTAATAGTTACATTTTGGTCTCATCCATCCACAGAGCATTCTTCTAATAGCTTTCTGGCTTATCCACCTGGTCTTTTGCAAACTGTAGACCGGAGGCAATGTTCTTTTTGAAAAGTAGTAATTTTCTCCTTGCAATCCTGATATGCACACCATTTTTATTTATTTTTGTTCTCCTGATGGTGGTTCCATGAACACTGAACGTTCACTAATGCAAGAAAGTTCTTTAATTTCTTAGACATTATTCTGGGATTGTTTCACATCTCCCAGAATATCATGCACCTCTTTGCTGCTCAACCACTCCTGAGGAAAATAACAGTGATATTGAATTGTCTCCATTTGTACCCATTCTTCCTGAGAGTGGACTGGTGAAATCCAGACTCTTTGGAAATGATTTTGTAACTATTTCTATGGGTCATGGCTTGAACAAAGTTTCTGTCCTGGGGAGCATGAACAACTGTTTTTGGGGGATCCTAAAAAATCTCCTTTGTTCAAGCCATGACACATTTCCACATATCTAAAGCAAAGATCATATGTTGATAATACAGTTTTGCCAAGGAAGATCAATTTTTGTTAGATCCGATGAAATTTTCAACATTATACAGTCCAAAATGGATTTGTATATTTGTCTAGAGAGAAAGTATTTTATTGATCTGTCAGTTTCCATGCAAGAGCTGTCTTAAGATATCCCAGGTGAAGTATTTAAAAAAAAAACCTATCGGTGGTTCTGGAAAATTTTAATACTGCTTTTGGCATCCATGAGATAAATATGTGATCAGTCTAATGCATAATGCAGGCCTTGCTGTTAGCCTAGTATTTTAAATCAAGAAATACTAGTGTTCTTCATGAGCCTATTATGATCATAACATTTCCTAGCAACCTTTTTATTGACCATATACTCTTCAACAGGGATAATTCATCCTGGACATTTAACAAATCCTAGAAATTTCTGGATGCTCTCTGATATTCCAGTTAAAGCCATGACTTAGGTAGAGAGATCCATAGGTCTGATAATTCCCAATTACTGCAGAACTGAATTCATGAAATAGATGGATTGTAATCTGAATTTTGATGGCACAAACTTCATAAAGCTATATCAAATACAAGCCAGAGCAGGTAGTTGTAGCTATGAAACAATCTGTCTTCTGTTTCATTGAAATCTTAGATAGCTGTCCACGCTTTTCTCAGTCATTACACTGATCACTAGTGAATATTAGCATAGTTTCTAATAAGTCAACTGAAAGCAGGTCAACTACCTGAAAAAATCAGTAGACAAATTATGGTCTAATTATATCTGGTTATAACTAATCAGGATATCTTTTGTCAAAAATATTGAACCTTCCCACTGCTCCATTTAAGCATATGACATATTTTGCTGGTGGTTATGCCATACTTTACCAAAGTTCAGTTAACTACCGTTAGCTCACTTTTTATGGGTTCACAAGATGCACTGAGTAATAATAAATTAGATGTGAATAGTACATTAGATTATAAATATGGTTATTTTGTAGTTTATTGTATTGTGTGGACAGAGATATTCTGTCTTGGAGTGGAAAGCAGTCCCAATTAGATCCAGCTAATTAACAAAATGCATTGCAAAGCAGTGTTTGAAACATTGCTTCACACTTGGTTGGAAATGGGTTCATATTCCAGAATGAAGTACAGCAAAAGGCTGTGAATAAAATGTAGGACAAGGTTGATTGATTGGTATAGGTGCCAAACAAGTACAACAAAATTAAACTCTTAAGGTATATGAAATATAATAAAACTAATACAAGAACCCTGCTAAATATAAAACTAATACAAAAACTCTGCAAATCCAACAAAGAATCATATCAGACAGTGTCACAAATCCACCTGACACAATGTCTGGAGAAAAGCTAGGTCTTTAAGACTTTAGTACAAATTGGTAGGATCATGGTCAGTATGTATATTTGGGCTAACTCTCAGATACAGTGACAGGAAAGATATGTTTACTATAGTATTGTTTAAAAGATGAAACTCAGAGCATATTTATCCCTATTGAATTTTACTGGATGGGCAAAACTGATCAATGACAGGTGGTCTCTCAAATAATCCAACCTTGCGGGTTAAAGACTTTAAAGGTGATAACTGCATTTTGAAGTATAGCTTCAAACAATCACAAATTAAAATATTGCACATAGTTCACTTATATTGAGACATGAAGATTTTGCCCTAGATTTAAAATTGTGGAACATTTCAATGTGATAATCTGAAGACAGTGTGTCTAGGTCTTACTGCATTATGGTTTAATTGTGATTATTGTAGATACACTACTGTTTATTACTAAATATGCCAGAAATGTACTATAGACTAGTTATTTATATAACAGTCATGGCTGAAAGTGGTCTGGTTAAGATTATTGCAGAGTTTGGATTTTACATTTTTTTCTTGAATCTGATTAGACAAGAATGTATCTAAATGTTCATGCTCTTGACAGTCCATATTGCAAAAGCAGGCTGTGAAAGAAGAGAAAGTTATTTTAAGTTTAATGAGAATCTGAGAAGGTTTCATTTGTAAGACTTAATTCTAGCTCATTAATATTTAAAAATTGGGGTAAAATATACAGGTAGTCCTTGCTTAATGACCATTCATTCAGCTACTGTTCAAACATGTAATGGTGCTGAATGAGTGGTAGTTATGACTAGTCCTTGGAGTTCCAGTTGTTTCAATGTCCCCGTTTTCACATGATTGAGATCTGGGTGGTTGGTGGCTAACTTATGATTATGATGGTGGCAGCATCCCATAGTCACACAATTTCCATTTGCAACCTTTGCCAGCTTCCAACAGGCAAAATCAATGGGGCATCTGTAGGAAGTTGCAAATGGCGACCATGTAACATTCTTGCTGATTTTCTCAATGATTTGCTTAATAACAGCACATAGGAGTATCAATTGCCATCACTAAGTGACATGGTCACATGACATGCTGCATGACATGTCACTTAGTGACGGCAATTTCTGGGGGAAAAAGAAGATGATATTGTGTCATCAGATATCTGCAAGTTCAATCTTGCATTCAATATGTCAGATTACAAACTGAATTTTAAATATCAGAGTGTTTTAATTGGTTTTGTAGTTTATCAAGTTAAGTTTCAGGTATACTGTAGAACTAATGCATGATATAACTTTAAAAAAAAAAGACAATCACATTGGTTATATGGAAAACAGATTATGTCTAGTCTTGAAGTTAAGCTTACATGTACAATTTGCACAGAAACAAAGATAGATTATTTGAAGTGCCCTATTGGCAGTGTCCTTTTCTGAAGGACACAGAATTGACAAGAGCTATTCAAACTGAAGTATGGAAACAAAATCCTTTCCACCCTTAATAAAAGCAGCCCTGCCCTGCCTATAGCGATTAACTCAGTGAAAAATACTTCCATTGGCACAAATAGAAGTTTCAAGTCCTGGAAATAGATTTGAGGCTGAGCCCCAATCTGTCCTTGCCTAGTAACTTTAAAATGAACATGTTTTGAGCCTTTAGTAAAACTGTGATGCTTCTGGTGCAAATAAACTGCTTGTTGAAACATAGTATAAATTAATATTGCAAGACACTGAGTTAATAATGGTAAAGAAAAATGATGATACCAATTTTACTCTGCTCTCTTTTCTTGATGTAACTTAATTAACCAAATAATAACAGTAACTTGAAGTGTCAGAAATGTTCCAGCTGATGGGGAGATTGGCTTTGGCTCTCGTAATTGTATGACGTTTTTATTCAATAAAGCATAATTCTAAAATTTGTATGAAACTGTTATGACATAGATCAGCATGCAGTTAATTTGTTGCAACATGGAGGTCAGTTGATGAAGTTTTGAAAGCAATTTGTTTTTCCATTTTTGCATTTTCATTTCCAGGTTGTCCTTTTAGACTTTGTATCTGTATTGCAAAGTCATACATTTCAGCTAGTAATTCTTCAGAGGTGTTTTGATATTTCTGTTTACTTTCCTCTAAATTGTGACTGCTCATCACTCATTGCTTACTTTTAGATGAAAGACTGGGACCTTAAAGTTTGGTTTGCTAAGTTAAAATCCATAGTTCAACAGATAGATGCCACATGAGTTGAACTCAACTTCTGCTGATTGACATTACTGAATATTTGGGTCTTAATATTTAACATTAACCCATGGAGGTTAATGTTTTCCTAATCAGTTTCTCTGAGTTTTCCACATTTTCATCTAATAATGTCATCGTAATTAATTAGGGACCCCAATTTCAAGGGTTCCTATTGAAATTTGTACAGATAAAAGAAACAACAGTTTCTGTTGCTAATGATAGAAAACAGCATAATTATTAAAAGGGGTCCTCGACTTATAACACAACTGAACCCAAAATTTCTATTGCTAAACGAGACAATTTTTATGTGAATTTCCCCCCATTTTACGACCTTTCTTGACACAGTTGTTAAATGATTCTCTACAGTTGTTAAATTAGTAACAAGGTTGTTAAGTGAACCTGGCTTCCCCATTGACTTTCCTTCTCAAAATGTCGCAAAAGGTGGCACGTGACCCCAGGACATTGCAACTGTCATAAATATGAGTCAGTTGCCAACTTGTGAATTTTGATTGTGGGGATTCTGCAGTGGTCATTAAGTGTGAAAAATGGTCATAAGTAACTTTTTTCAGTGCTATTGTAACTTTGAACGGTCACTAAAGGAACTGTTGTAAATCAAGGACTACCTGTTTAATGCATACTATAGACCAGTGATCCCCAACCTTTTTGACGCCGCGGCCCGGTACCAGCATCAGCTGGGCACCGCGGCCCGGTACCGGCATCAGCTGGGCGCCGCCAGCTTTTTTTGATGAAAACGTGCTTCCAGTGAGCTTTCTACCCGGAAAAGCTCACCGGAAGCGCTGGCGCCGCCATCTTTTTTTGATGAAAACGTGCTTCCGGTGAGCTTTCTACCCGGAAAAGCTCACCGGAAGCACTTTTTCATGAAAAAAAAGATGGCGGCGCCCAGCAAGCTGCGGCCCGGTAGGAGTTGTTCCGCGGACCGGTACCGGTCCATGGACCGGTGGTTGGGGACCCCTGCTATAGACTACTCTTGTGGTCATACATGCTGCTAATATAATCTGCTTCTTCCTCTTCTCCAATTCCCAACTAACATTACAAGACTTAATGTGAATGATAACAGAAAATGGAGACCCTTAAAAATATAGCAGAGCTTTGCTTTGCTAATCAGTGTCTTCCTTGTGCTAAATGTTTGTGGTCAGTGTGTAGAATTCATCTCATTTGACATTGGAAATAAGTGAAATAACATTAAATTTACATTCATTGGTTTTGTTTGTTAGCCTTAAGGGGTGATGGGATTTAATTGCTAATTGATTTAAATTATGCAGATCAAATGACTTAATATACTAGTGCTGACAAATTTATTTTTCCTTCTTTCTTGACAGGCTTTCAAAGAGATGCTGTATGCTGCTCAGGACCAGGCCCCTTCTATAGAAGGTATAATGCAAGCTATAATTATTTTAATTATATTGATTAATTATATTAATGTTAGTTCAATAGTTCCCTATGAGAATCCAGATACCACTGTCTATATATAGACAAAAAATGGGGTAAAAAGAAATCATTTCACCAATTTGTTTTTGAGCTGAAAACAACTTACAAAAATGATCAAAGTGATACATTTCAAGCACAAAACAACTGTTTCTATATTAAGTGGAGTGTTTTAAACTTGCAGTGGTTTGAGTTAGAAATGTTTTGTACACTGTTAGTAATGTTACAAACCAGAATCTGTATTGTAATGTATTATGTTCTTCCTTAACTCTCAATTTTTACTACAGTATTCTCAAAAGTCAATTTAAAACTTCTCGTTTGTACCATTTTCTACATTTTTCCAAAAGTAGGTGCTAGAGGTTTCATTTTGCTTCTTGATCATGGGCATAAAACAGCAGAGCATTTAAAATATGTTTGTAGAAATTAAATATAATTATTTTCAATTCATTGTTTGTAATTCACAGAACAAAAATTGAGCAATCTGCTCAGGTTTAACTATTTTCTGGTACACAGGAGGAAGAGGAGAAAATAATAAGTATCATGAAAAAAGACTAATATGGTCTTTGTTTTTTTTTTAAATAAGACCAGTTGCATATGGCAATCAGAATTATTCACTGCAGTTACATGCCTCTTTAAATCTTGTGGTCTCTCTGTTTATTTTTCACATTTCTAACCCACTACAATCAAAAGAGTCCCAATATCTTACATAAAATATAAAGCTAAGAAAACACCCCCCCAAGTAGCAAAAATTATTTAATTTATAGGCAGTCGTGGGAAACTGAGAAATAGGCATTTATCTGTCCTTGCTTTCAAAATGTTGTTTCTAAACTGCACAAGGATATCTTGCTATTTGGTCAGATGGCAATGTTGCATTATACTAAATTAAATTTGTACTAACCATATTGTTGTGTTCTTACAATTTCATTTTAAAACCAATGTACAAAGAAATTAGTTAAGTGCTTGTATAAATACAAAAAGTTACTAGTCTATCTTTTATATGTTTTATGTTTTTTATTTATTAAATTCATTTTTATATCCCACCTTTATTATTTTTATCAATAACCCAAGACAATGAACATATCAAACATTCCTTCCTTCTCCTATTTTTTCCCATAACAACCTGTGAAGTGAGTTGGAGTTGGACTGAGAAAGAGTGTTTAGTCCAAGGTCACCGAGTTGGCTTTCGTGGCTAAGGCAGGACTTGACTTCATGGTTTCCCGCTTTCTAAGCCAGTGCCTTGGATCAAACTAGCTCTCCCCTTGGATTTTCTGGCATTTTGATTTTTTAGCAATCTAATGTCTGCAGAAGACATTAATTATTGGGCTGCTCAAGGTAAAGGTAAAGGTTCCCCTCACACATATGTGCTAGTCGTTTCCGGTTCTAGGGGGTGGTGCTCATCTCTGTTACAAAGCTGAAGAGCCAGCACTGTCCGAAGACATCTCCGTAGTCATGTGGCCGGCATGTCTAAACGCCACAGATGCACAGAACACTGTTATCTTCCCATCAAATTAGTCCCTATTTTTCTACTTGCATTTTTACATGCTTTTAAACTGCTAGGTTGGCAGAAGCTGGGACAAGTAACGGGAGCTCACTCCATTACATGGTGCTAGGGATTCAGACTGCTGAACTGCCGACCTTTCTGATTGACAAGCTCAGGGTCTTAGCCACTGAGCCACCGCATCCCCACTCATTGGGTTGCTTAGATGGGGAAAAAATCAGATACTGGAATTTTTTGGATTTGGAGGATTTGCTTCAGTATAGTAAAATTGGTCATAAACTAGTTACACAAATTATTATTTCAATTTACTTTATATAACTTTGGATATGTATCATTATTGCTTGTGCAGAACTGATTGAATTAATGGCTTTAATGGGAATAATCTGCCCTATGGATTTGACATAGATGGCATTACAATCTGAGGCATCTGAATGTAGAACTAGTATTGGAACCAACTGAATTTGAAAAACTATGTAAGTTTATATAAGGAAGAAGATGATTATTGTCCCCATACTGTTTAACCTGTACAATAAATACATTATATAAAAGAATGGGGGTGACAGCTAGAATCAAAATTGAGAGTCAAAACAGTGAAACATGCAGATACGCAATTAGGTTAGAAGCTTTAGAACAGCTTTTTATGGAAATAGAAAATAATAACTATGAATTAATATTAAATGTTAAAAGAAAACATGATCCCACATGCTAAATGAATTTGAAATTGACAGTAAAGAAGTGATAGGTGGTTTTGCTTTCTTTGTTTTAATGGCAGATTTAGGCAAGATTATGAAGGACAAGGTCATTTCTGTGACAAAGAAGATTGGAAATGTTAAAGCAATGTGTTTCCATTGGTGACTGTTTTGAGAACTGAAGACTGATAATCCAAAAAGAAGCAGGTGTCCTTGAAGTATGAATTTAGAGGCAGATACCGGTATTTAGTATCATGGGTTGCAAAAAGCATATCCATTAATTCTGAACTAAATAAAGACTGATTATTTGAGGTAATGTAATTCACATATGTTGAACAGATGATGCAAGCAGAAGATGGGCTTGAAGAGGATTCTGTTTGGCAAGTTTATGGGAAGTAGAAAGAAGGATAAAGCAACTGATAAAATTGATGAACAAAAACAAGGAAATTGCTGGGGTGTCCTTGAAAGAGCTGTAAATTAAGGTTAGAGACAAGTCAACATAAAGAATGTTTGTCTATACAATCACCATGCTTCCAGCCTGAGTCAGTGGTATCTATCTAAAATAATTATGTATAAGAGCAACCAGCATTTTAACCGAGTAGACTAGAAAAAGCATAACTATCTCATTTCCAAATATTATCAAACTTATGTAAATAGATCTTTTGACTATAATAATGTTAAAGGTAAAGGTGTCCCTGCAGATTTTATACTGCTAGTCATTGCCACCAAAGGGGGAGGTGCTCATCTCCATTTCAAGGCCATTGAGCTAGTGCTGTCCAAAGAGCATGTGAGTATGTCAGTATGACATCATGGAGGTCTGTTATCTTCCCACTGAAGTGGTACCTATTTATCTACTTGCATTAAACTTTTCAACTGCTACGTTGGCAGGAGCTCACCCCATTGCATGGCATTCAGGTCTCAAACCTGGGCTGCTGCATTCCAGCTGACAAGCCAAGCATCTTAACTGCTTTGCTACCACAACCCAATATACAGTATGAACATAAATTCGGAAGTATTTGCCAGCACATTAAATAAATGTAGTTCAGTATGAACTGGATTTTGGAAACTTGTAGATTTGACTGATGTAGTAATTTTTCTAAATCAAATGATTTCATCTTGCTTTGAGAAAGTTATTAGTAAGCTCTGATTTGCCTTTGATGAGAATAAGTTGTTCTTATTGAGAATAAAGTGGTAGGAGCGTGGAATCAAATTCTATCCTTGCAAATGCTTTTATGTTAGATGATTTCTGGGCCCCGATTATCTTTAGAATAACAGAGTTGAAAAGGACCTTGGTGGTTTTCTAGTCCAACCCCCTGCTTAGGCAGGAAACCCTACACCACCTCTTCTTAAAAACTTAGCATTTACAACTTCTGGAGGTAAGTTGTTCCACTGTATTTTAACTGTCAGGAAATTTCTCCTTAGTTCTAAGTTGCTTCTTTCCTTGATTATTTATTTATTTTATTTTATTTATTTTAATTTGTCAATCGCTTACAAGATAATACCATGTTTCTCCAACAATACAGCCTTCCCCAATAGGAAGTCCCAGCATGCTTTATAGGCATACAATCAAATTAAGCCCCTCCCCCCCCCAAATTAAGGCCTATATTAAACATGCGAATTGGGGAATGGTGGGGAGGCTGGCCATTAGGAAGTACTTTTGTTGCATACCCGGATATGGTGCTGCCTGCGTTGACCTCGGTGTTGGTGGGGCACTTTGTATCGGGAAACCTTCCACCACCATTGCTTTCCCTTCTCCCCGTGCTGCCGCAGCGTTTAAAGCAATGTCGTGGCGTTTGGCGCAGCCACATGGGGCCAGCCAGGGCTCCTCCCTGCAACTGGAGCCTGGCGGAGACACTCGGCTTCAGGCGCTCCTGTCGCCGCCTTCCCTCCACCTTCGAAGGCAAAGCCAATTCTTTTAAAAACAACGCCCTACTACCGGTATGCCAAAGCCTCCCCTGCCCTAGAGGGCAGCCCAACCCCACGTGGGGAGGCGAATCTCCCGGGGTGGCAGCACAGGATCGGCCCACCCCGGGAGAACCGTCCAGCCGCCATCCCTACCTGGCGCTGGGCAGAGCCGAAGAGCTTTGCCCGGGGCTCCCAGCACAGCTGACAGGGCCGGCGGGTCCAGCGGAGAGAGCCCGAAGCCGCCCATCCTTTCCATCTCTCGCCCAGCCCGTCCCCATCCCCATGCATCTCCAAACGCGCCGGCTGCTCCAAACGCTGCAGTGGCATGGGCATTGGGCAGAGGCGCTTACTCATCGGGCCTCAGCTTGGAGGAGGACGCGGCGCAGGCCATCACCTTGCCTCCCTGTCCACGGATGGGTGGGTGGTATCACTGCCTCGGGCGGCCTCTCCCGGTGGCCCCTTCGGGTTCGGGCTGGAGGAACCTGGGAAGGAAGCCAAACTCGGGTCGGCCCGGCTCTTTTGCTTGGCAGGCGGGTGCGCAGCCGCGGCTCGCATTCACTGCTCTTCCCAGCCTGCATGGCTCTGTCGGGATGAGCGGAGGGTCTGGTGTGGAGGCGCTTGCTGTCTTGGCGAGAGCTCCGCCGCCGGGCAAGAGGGCCTGCCTGTCAGCTGCTCTGGGCGCCCCAGGCAAAGTTCTTCATGCTCTGCCTGGCGCCAGGCAGGGATGGCGGCTGGGCGCTTCTCCCGGGGTGGGCCGATCCTGCGCTGGGGCCCCGGGAGATTCACCTCCCCATGTGGGGTTCGCTGCCCTCTTGGGCAGGGGAGGCTTTGTCGTACCGGTAGTAGGGCATCAT